AGCAATGAGAATGAACAGATGATTGCCACATGAAGTAATATGGATGAATTTTACCAAGATAATGTTAAGCGAAGAAGGTGTGTTTCCTGTTACAAAAAAACAGGCAAAACAGGACAGGCACTAGTGGCTCATGCCAATAATTCCAGCACTTTGGGAGGCTGAAGCAGGAGGATTACTTAAGGCAGGCGTCCCTGAGGCCATTTATCCGGCCCCCCGCCGCACTTCAGGAAGGGGCACCTCTTTCATTGGTGGTCAGTGAGAGGAGCACAGTATGTGGCCGCCCTCCAACGGTCTGAGGGACAGTGAACTGGCCCCATGTAAAAAGTTCGGGGACGCCTGACTTAAGGCCAGGAGTTCACGACCAGCCTGGGCAACATAGGGAGACCCTGTCTCACAAAAATTATAAACAATTTAGCTGGGCATGGTGAAACACGCCCGTAGTCCCAGCTACTAGGGAGGGTGAGGTGGGAGGACTGCTTGAGCCCAGGAGTTGGAAGCAGCGGTGAGTCTTAATTGCACAATTCTGCTCCAGCCTGGGTGATACGGCAAAACTCTGTCAAAATTAAAACAAACAAATAAACAAACAAAACAAATGGTCAAAACAAGCCAGGTGCCTACCCCTAGAGTCTCAGCTGTTCAGGGAGCCGAGGTGGGAGGATCACTCGAGCTGAGGAGTTCAAAGCCTGGGCAACACAGAAAGACCTCATTTCTAGAAAAACAACAACAACAACAAATATATATATGTATGTATATATATATATATATATATATATATATATATATATATATAGGCAAAACTCATACGTGATGGCAAGAATCTGGATAATACTTTTTTTTTCCTGAGTCTTGCTCTGTCACCCAGGCTGGAGGGCAGTGGCATGATCGCAGCTCACTGCAAACTCTGCCTCCTGGGTTCAATCAATTCTCCTAACTCAGCCTCCCAAGTAGCTGGGATTACAGGCGCCCACCAACACACCGCGTTAATTTTTATATTTTTAGTAGAGATGGGGTTTCACCATCTTGGCCAGGCTGGTCTTGAACTCCTGACCTGGTGATCCACCCGAAATGGCCTCCCAAAGTGCTGGGATAATAGGCGTGAGCCACCGCGCCGAGCCAAAAAAACTTCTTTTTTTTTTTTTTTTTTCCGAGACGGAGTTTCGCTCTCGTTACCCAGGCTGGAGTGCAATGGCGCGATCTCGGCTCACCGCAACCTCCGCCTCCTGGGTTCAGGCAATTCTCCTGCCTCAGCCTCCTGAGTAGCTGGGATTACAGGCACGCGCCACCATGCCCAGCTAATTTTTTGTATTTCTAGTAGAGACGGGGTTTCACCATGTTGACCAGGATGGTCTCGATCTCTTGACCTCGTGATCCACCCGCCTCGGCCTCCCAAAGTGCTGGGATTACAGGCTTGAGCCACCGCGCCCGGCAAAAAAACTTCTTAAATTTAAAAACAAACCAAAACAAATGAACAAAAAGGCACACAACCTTTACAAAAGAGTAGCATAGTGTGCAGGGAAGTTAATTTTAAAGCTAGAAGAGGCCTTGGAAACCATTTTGTCTAAGCATCTCATTATAGAAACCGACAGAGGCCCAGAGAAGACAAGTGACTTGCTCCAACAGATTTAGTCAATTACAGAGCCTAGGGTAGGCCTCCTGGCTTCCTGTCAAGTGCTCCTCCTGCAGAACCATCCTGATTCATCCATTTGGTCTGTTTTTATGCTCTTCCAACATCTTATCTCTAAACTGCATATGTCATAAAACTCATAATTTTTTCCCTCTAAATTTGATGTTTTTGTCATGAGAAAAGGAGATCAGAAGAGTTACACTGTACTGCACTGATATTCCAAACACTTAGAAAATGAGTCAAAATATCCATGAGTAGAGAAATAGTCTGTTAGAAATCATCGAAACATGGATCTATTCTCTACTCTTGGATTTTTTTTTTTTTGTTTTTGAGATGGAGTTTCATCTATAGGCATGTGCTACCATGTCTAGCTAATTTTTGTATTTTTATTTTTATTTTTTTTTTGAGACGGAGTTTCGCTCTTGTTACCCAGGCTGGAGTGCAATGGCGCGATCTCGGCTCACCGCAACCTCCGCCTCCCGGGTTCAGGCAATTCTCCTGCCTCAGACTCCCGAGTCGCTGGGATTACAGGCACGCGCCACCATGCCCAGCTAATTTTTTTGTATTTTTAGTAGAGACGGGGTTTCACCATGTTGACCGGGATGGTCTCGATCTCTTGACCTCGTGATCCACCCGCCTCAGCCTCCCAAAGTGCTGGGATTACAGGCGTGAGCCACCACGCCCGGCCTAATTTTTGTATTTTTAGTAGAGACAGGGGTTTCACCATGTTGGCCAGGCTGGTCTTGAACTCCTGACCTCAAGTGATCCACCTGCCTCAGACTCCCCAAGTGCTGGAATTACGGGCGTGAGCCACTGCACTGGGCCCTACGTTTGGGTTATTTTGACTGATTAACTGCAGCTCTCCTGCTTCTTTGTCCCCGACAGTATGGCCTACTCAAATATGCAGGGTGACTTTTTTTGAGGTGGAGTCTTGCTCTGTTGCCCAGGCTGGAGTGCAGTGGCATGCTGTTGGCTCACTGCAAACTCTGCCTCCCAAGTTCAAATGATTCTCCCACTTCAGCCTCCCAAGCAGCTGGGATTAGAGACAGGGACTACCACTCCTGGCTAATTTTGTATTTTTTTTTTTTTTTTGAGACGGAGTTTTCGCTCTTGTTACCCAGGCTGGAGTGCAATGGCGCGATCTCGGCTCACCGCAACCTCCGCCTCCTGGGTTCAGGCAATTCTCCTGCCTCAGCCTCCTGAGTAGCTGGGATTACAGGCACACGCCACCATGCCCAGCTAATTTTTTGTATTTTTAGTAGAGATGGGGTTTCACCATGTTGACCAGGATGGTCTCGATCCCTTGACCTTGTGATCCACCCGCCTCGGCCTCCCAAAGTGCTGGGAGCCACCGCGCCCGGCTAATTTTGTATTTTTAGTAGAGACCGGGTTTCACCGTGTTGGTCAGGCTCCCAAAGTGCTGGGATTACAGGCGTGAACCACCACACCCAGCCCGGGCTGACTTTAGAGTCTTTAAGTTACATAAGAAAAGGATAGGGTGGAGAGGTGATAAAAAAAAATTATCGGGTTTCATCTTTGGCCAAGCACAAGGTCTCTTTTGGGAAAGTGAGCTCTTTTGCCACCTTGTGATAGTAATGAGAACAGCAAGCACTCTGATTAATTTCTACTCCTGCTCCAAGGTGGCAGCATTGTGCCATGGCATCTAGGAACTAATGTACAGAAAGCTTCAAATAGAGCCAACAGGAGGGAAGGTAATGATAATACCTCACAGGAGCAGAGAATCACGTCATCAAGTGAAGGAAACAGTAAGCAAAAATCACAAAACCCAAGGAAGTCAATGGAGCCCCTCTGTCCTAACCACTTCCTCTGCTAAGAGAAGCAGGCGGTTGTGAAGGATGAATAAACATTTGCTTGGACCAATAAAGATGTGAAGCATTTATGTTCCTTCTAATCAGCGTCCTGAATTATCTGGTCTCTTTCTCACACAAAACTTTTTGAAAAATGTTATCTAGGCCCGATGTAGTGCTCACACCTGTAATTCGAGCACTTTGGGAGGCCAAGGTAGGCGAATTGCTGGAGCTCAGGAGTTTGAGACCAGCCTGGGCAACACAGTGATATCCTGTCTCTACAAAAAATAACCCTGTCTCCACAACAAAATCAGATCAAAGAAACTCTGGACCGTGATAAAGACCAAGTGGATCTTCATTCTCTTTTGTGTTCCATCTATCTATGCCATCACAAAGTCCATAGATTATTACACTAGATACTAAAAAATACAATTTTGGAAAAATCTTCAACAACAGTTATCTGTCTAGGAAAACTTTACCAAACTAGACAGTACCACTCACCTACTGTATTTAGCTCTTCCTCACAACCTGTCAGCCCAATGGTCATAGGAATGCTGTCCACCAATACCTCACTGTTCAGGAGTGTGAAGATGTGCAAAACTCAACAGACATGTCTGTGCTAATGTGAATTTATGTATATAACTGTGAATTCTAGACATCACATGGTTCAGGGCCGGAACCATGAACCATGGGCAGCTCACGCCTGTAATCCCAGCACTTTTGGAGGCCAAGGCAGGCGGATCACTTGAGGTCAGGAGTTTGAGACCAGCCTGGCCAACATGGTGAAACCCACATCTAATAAAAATACAAAAATTAGCTGGAGCAGTGGTGCACACATGTAATCCCATTTACTCATGAGGCTGAGGCAGGAGAATCACGTGAACCCACAAGACGGAGGTTGCAGTGAGCCGAGATCATGCCATTGCACTCTAGCATGGGCAGCAAAGTGAGATTCCATTTCAAAAAAAAAAGAGAGAGAGACAGAGAGATCATATGGTTAAGGATTCTCAATTTACAGAGAACATTTAGATCCCAAGAAGTCAAGTAATTTTCCCAAGATGATATAGTTAATACCAGGGCCTGTACTAGAACTCGATTGTTCTGATTCCTAGTCCTAGTTTGCTGCTCTATTCTAGAAATTATATTCCTTACTAGAAATCTGCACATCTTTTCGTGACAGTGTATAAATCTGTGTGGCTGTGTCAGTGAGCATGCATGTAAATGTCTACGTGTCTATCTGCAAGTATTTGTTTGTAAAGCATATCAATGGGCGTTTATGCCCTTCCTGCTAGAGAAACCTCTAGGTAATCCAGTTCTCTATATGAGCACCAGCAGCAAAGTCAAAAGAAGACCTCTGAGTAAATCATTAATAAGCAGAATTAGTCCTTTCTCTAATCAGCTCTATTCCTGGGTCTTCAGGAAATAGGGTAAAACAATTAGGGTGAAATCAGAGTCTCTCAGGGTCAAACTTCATTCTAATTGTGGTGAAAGCAACCAGAGTCAGGGCTATCAAGGGCTGTGACAGATTAGCAGTGGTCTGTCTGCAATGAGTATGTGTTCAAGCTAACATGGATACCATCTTGGTCTTTAGCCTAATCATCGCATGCTATGATGCCAACAAGAAAGGTAGGTAATTCTCTGACCTAATCTCCTGGAGAATACAGAAAGAAGCCTAGAAAGTGTTCAGGGGTCTCTTCCACCAGATAGAGATTAGCTAATATCCAGCAAGCAATACTTTCCAGAGGGAATCCCATGTATCCACTCTCCTCTAAGAAGGACTACAACTTATTCATTCCAGAGAGATAGCTGTCTGTTTCATGATGGGAGCTCTGCAGAGAATGTGATGCATTCTTATGTCTTGTTCATGTAATTAAAAGTGTTTTCAAGCCGGGCGCGGTAGCTCAAGCCTGTAATCCCAGCACTTTGGGAAGCTGAGGCGGGTGGATCACGAGGTCGAGAGATCGAGACCATCCTGGTCAACATGGTGAAACCCCAAAAAATTAGCTGGGCATGGTGGCACGTGCCTGTAATCCCAGCTACTTAGGAGGCTGAGGCAGGAGAATTGCCTGAACCCAGGAGCCGAGATCGCGCCATTGCACTCCAGCCTGGGTAACAAGAGCGAAACTCCGTCTCAAAAAAAAAAAAAAAAAAAAAAAAGTGTTTTCACTGTTGGATGGCTTCCTTTAGAGTTACAGTATTGTTATCACCTAAGATTCCCAAATTTATAACTGTTCATAAGATAGTGCCCTTTTTTTTTTAAGGTGGTACATGTAAATAGCTAGATGATAATGTTCTTGGGTGGAGAGAGCTCAGGGAAAGGGTGATATGGGGGTGGAATGGCATCATTTGCTGCTTTTTGGTAACTGCTTATTTAAAATATGATTTTTCAAAGTTTCATAAACATTTAATCTCTAAAATCAGCTAATCAAGGCTGGGCCTTGATAATACAAGGCTCATGCCTGTAATCCCAGCACTTTGGGAGGCTGAGACTGGTGGATCACTTGAGACCAGGAGTTCGAGACCAGCCTGGCCAACATGGCAAAACCCCATCTCTACCAAAAATACAAAAATTGGCCAGGCCTGGTGGCATGTACCTGTAATCCTTGCTATTCGGGTGGCTGAAGCACAAGAATCACTTGAACCTGGGAGGTGGAGATTGCAGTGAGCTGAGTTCATACCACTGCACTCTAGCCTAGGTAACACAGTGAGACTCTGTCTAAAAAAATAAAAATAAAAATAAATAAAATTAGCTAATTAGAATTAAGGCCAATGGCACAAGGTGCAGCAATAACAAATTTAACAAATTATAAAAAGTCACAACCCTGTGAATTATGTGACAAAAAGCATAAATAACTAAGACCTATGCTTCTGTGGAAACCTATAGAGAATCCTTGTCCAAGGTCAGACAATATGAATCTCCGAAAGTTTTATTTAACACAAGAAAGCAGATAGAATAGGAGGGGGAAGAGAAAATAAGCAGTATTTAAAGGAATGAGTTGGTTAGTCTTTCATTAACTTACTAAGTTTTCTTAACTCTATTTCACCTTTCTTTCTCCTAAGGGTAATAGATTAGTACTCAGTATTCTTTTTTTTTTTTAAAGGGAGTCTCACACTGTCACCCGGGTTGGAGTGCAGTGGCACTATCTCTGATCACTGCAACCTTCACCTCCCAAGTTCACGCAAACCTTCTGTCTCAGCATCCCAAGTAGCTGGGATTAGTGCCTGCCACTGGCCACCACGCTGGGCTAATTTTTGTAGTTTTTAGTAGAAACAGGGTTTCACCATCTTCAACTCCTAATGATCCAACTGCCTTGGCCTCCCAAAATGCTGGGATTATAGGTGTGGAGCCACCGTGCCGGGCTGGTACTCAGTGTTCTTTATACTAGGTCAACAACTACTTTGTATGTATTTGACTATGTATTCTGAAGGCTTTTTTGAGGACCAGGTGTGGTGGCTCACGCCTGTAATCCTAGCACTTTGGGAGGCTGAGGTGGGTGGATCACCTGTCAGGAGTTTGAGACCAGCTTGGCCAACATGGTGAAACCCCATCTCTACTAACAATACAAAAATCAGTTGTGCATGGTGGTGCATGCCCATAATCCCAGCTACTCAGGAGGCTGACGCAGGAGAATCGCTTGAACTGAGGAGGAAGAAGTTGCAATGAGCAAAGATTGCGTCACTACACTCCAGCCTGGGTGACAGAGCAAGACTTTGTCTCAAAAAATAAATAAATAGCCAGGTGCGGTGGCTCACACCTGTAATCTCAGCACTTTGGGAGACTGAGGCAGGTGGATCACAAGGTCAGGAGTTCAAGACCAGACTGGCCAACATGGTGAAACCCCATCTCTACTAAAAAATACAAAAATTAGCTGGGCATGGTGGCTCATGCCTGTAATCTCAGCTACTTTGGAGGCTGAGGTAGGAGAATTGTTTGAACCGGGATCCAGGAGGTGGAGGTTGCAGTGAGCCTAGATCACACCACTGCACTCTAGCCTGGGCTACAGAGCGAGACTCCATCTCAAAAATAAATAAATAAGGCCAGGCGCGGTGGCTCAAGCCTGTAATCCCAGCACTTTGGGAGGCTGAGGCGGGTGGATCACGAGGTCAAGAGATCGAGACCATCCTGGTCAACATGGTGAAACCCCGTCTCTACTAAAAATACAAAAAATTAGCTGGGCATGGCAGTGCGTGCCTGTAATCCCAGCTACTCAGGAGGCTGAGGCAGGAGAATTGCCTGAACCCAGGAGGCGGAGGTTGCGGTGAGCCGAGATCGCGCGATTGCACTCCAGCCTGGGTAACAAGAGCGAAACTCCGTCTCAAAAAAAAAAAAAAAGAAAAGATAAATAAATAAATAAATAAATAAATAAATAAATAAATAAATAGACCGGGCTTGGTGGCTCACGCCTGTAATCCCAGCACTTTGGGAGGCTGAGGCGGGCAGATCACGAGGTCAGGAGATTGAGACTATTCTGCCTCACACAGTGAAACCCCGTCACTATAAAAAATAAATAAATAAAGTCTTTTTAGAGAGTATTTATTCTCCCAAGTTGCAAGTTTTATGAGCAGGAACTGCATTCTTTCATATCTTCTCCTCCATTGCCCAGAATTCTAAAAAGTAAGTACCAGTAAATTCTGACTTTCCCCAACCCTCCCCCGGTTCCCCCCCTCCCCCGCTGCTCTCCCCCAGACCTCAGAGATAGCAGTTGCCAAGTGGAACAGCTGCCTGGGCTCTTCCCAAAGGACGTGAGAAGCATCAAAGAATTGCAAATGCAAGGTAGGGAATGGGTCCTTTGGGAAAATGATATTGTCCTTCCAAAACATTTTTACCTTTAAAAGATGTCTCGTCTTCCCGCTTCTTAGCCCATATCTCAAATATCCTATTTTAAGGATATGTATCCTCCCAAGAGGTTTTTTGGAAACCAATCTTTAAATTAACTGTTATTACCTAAGGCATGCCTATATTACTCAAACGGATGGAGATGAAGAAAAGGAGGCAGGGCCGGGCACGGTGGCTCAAGCCTGTAATCCCAGCACTTTGGGAGGCCGAGGCGGGTGGATCATGAGGTCAAGAGATCCAGACCATCCTGGCCAACATGGTGAAACCCCGTCTCTACTAAAAATACAAAAAATTAGCTGGGCGTGGTGGTGCGTGCCTGTAATCCCAGCTACTCAGGAGGCTGAGGCAGGAGAACTGCCTGAGCCCAGGAGGCGGAGGTTGCGGTGAGCCGAGATCGCGCCATTGCACTCCAGCCTGGGTAACAAGAGCAAAACTCCGTCTCAAAAAAAAAAAAAAAAAAAGAAAAAGAAAAAAAAGAAAAGGAGGCAGCGCCTACCCCTCTCTGCATTAAAGAAAATCTATGAGCATTTCTCTGTGCTAAATTTACTGCTGTCACCAAGCTTCATGGGAAGAAAGGCAGGACTTGCATATTAGTACTATGAACATACACTGAGGCTGGGTGCGGTGGCTCATGCCTGTAATCCTAGCACTTTGGGAGGCTGAGGTGGGTGGATCACCTGAGGTCAGGAGTTCAAGACCAGCCTGGCCATCATGGTGAAACCCCATCTTAAAAAAAAAAAAAAAAAAAAAGAACATACACTGAAGAAGAAGTTAATTAAAAGGAGGAGAAAGTACATTAGTGGAATTTAACAGGAGTCATGAATGGAAGTGGGTTAGCTTGGCACTGTTCAGATTAAGAACCAGCTTCGGCTGGGCAGAGTGGCTCATGCCTATAATCCCAGCAGTTTGGGAGGCTGAGGCAGGTGGATCACTTGAGGTCAGGAGTTTAAGACTAGCCTGACCAATATGGTGAAACCCCATCTCTACTAAAAATACAAAAATTTGCTGGGGTAGTGGCACAAGCCTGTAACCCCAGCTATTTGGGAGGGGCTGAGGCAGGAGAATCACTTGAACCTGGGAGGCAGAGGTTGCAGTTAGCTGAGATCATGCCACTGCACTCCAGCCTGGGCAACAAGAGCAAAAGTCAGCTGCCCTGGCTCACGTGTGTAATCCCAGCACTTTGGGAGGCCAAGGTAGGAGGATTGCCTGAGCCCAGGAGTTTGAGACCAGCCTGGGCAACACAGCAAGACCCTGTCTTTTTAAAAAATTAAAAAATTAGCCAAGTACAGTGGCATAAACCTGTAGTCCCAGCTACTCAAGAGACTGAAGTGGGAGGATTACTTGGAGATTGAGGGAGTTTGAGGCTGGAGTCAGTCACGGTTACACCACTGCACTCCAGCTTGGGTGACAGAGTGAGGCCCCGTCTCAAAAAGCCAACCAAACAAAAAACAAAACCAGCTTCATTTTTCTGTCTGGCTCTTCTCCTTCCAGAAACTCACACAGAAACCAAAAGGCCAACATTCATCCAGAATCGGACTGTAGCTACCCTGCAGTGCCTTGGCTCTGGCAGCAAAGTCAAAGTCAACCTCGTATATTTGGAGAGGAGGCCAAAGGTCAAGCATACTCTGAAGAACCTGAGAATCATTGCCGCTCCCCACAGAAACAGCTCTGCCTCCTCAAGCTGTCACCTGATCCCCACATCCACATTTCAGACTGGATCTCTTCTAACAGGCAAAGGTGAGATTGGAAAAGAGGAAGGGGCAGGCACTAACTTTTAGCTGACATCCTTGATGGCAGCTGGAGTTCAGTAGCAGAAAGAACTATGCAGAAATGAATTCTCCTCCCCTCGGGCCAATCTATGTGCTCTCTGAGAGTCAGTTTCATAGTCTCTAAGATCCCTTCTAGCCCTGATAACGCTGTGATTTTCATGTGATCTCCATTTCTGATGGGTCTTCTCTTGACAGTTTTTCAAAATTTCTTTTTTTTTTTTTTCTTTTTTCTTTGAGATGGAGTCTCCCTCTGTCACCCAGGCTGGAGTGCAGTGGCATGATCTTGGCTCACTGCAACCTCTGCCTCCCAGGTTCAAGTGATTCTCCTGCCTCAGCCTCCCAAGTAGCCAGGATTATAGGTGTCTGCCACCATGGCAGGCTAATTTTTATATTTTTAGTAGAGATGAGGTTTCACCATGTTGGCCAGGCTGGTCCTGATCTCCTGACCTCAAGTGATCTGCCTGCCTTGACCTCACAAACTGCTGGGATTACAGGCATGAGCCACCGCGCCTGGCCAGTTTTTTAAAAATTTCATTTTAATGCACATAGTAAAATATTCAAACAGTACAGATTTATAGTGAAAAGTAAGTCTCTCTCCTACTCTGGTCTCCTGGTTCTCCAGTTCTCTATCCCTGACAGAACCACTATTATCAACTTATTACATTTTCTTCCAGAAATACTCTAAGAATGTATGAATGTATGTATTTTAAAAACATAAATGATAGCATACCATATACATCATTCTGCCCCTGGCTTTTTCCTGTGTTTTCTTTCCCCTTTTGGAGATGGAGTCTCCCTCTGTCACCCAGGCTGAAGTGCAGTGGTGTGATCTCATCTCACTGCAACCTCCTCCTCCCAGGTTCATGTGATTCTCCTGTCTCAGCTTAATTATCTGCGATTACAGGTGCCTGCCATCACACCCAGTGAATTTTTGTATTTTTAGTAGAGACAGGGTTTCACCATGTTGGCCAGGCTAGTGTTGAACTCCTGACCTCAAGTGATTTGCCCACCTCAGCCTCCCAAGGTGCTAGGATTACAAGTGTTAGCCACTGCGCCTGGCCACACCCCTTGCTGTTCCATTTAATAATATCTTATAGGTTGTTCCATTTCAATATGTATATATGTGTCCCATAATTTGCCTCATTCTTTTTAACAGTTGTACATTATTCCACAGTATGTCTCTTCTATATTCTGTCCCCTATTGATATATATTTTGGTTGTTTACAATCTTTTGGAAATACAAACGGTGCTACAAACAATGACCGTATATATTATTATTTTATTCTTTCATTCTTTCTTTTTTTATTGAGACAGAGTTTCTTGTTGCCAAGGCTGGAGTGCAATGGCTTGATCTCAGCTCACTGCAACATCCACCTCCCTGGTTCAAGCAATTCTGCCTCAGCCTCCTGCGTAGCTGGGATTACAGGCATGCGCCACCATGCCCGGCTAATTTTGTACTTTTAGTAGAGATGGGGTTTCTCCATGTTGGTCAGGCTGGTTTTGAACTTCTGATGTCAGGTGATCTGCCCACCTTGGCCTCCCAAAGTGCTGGGATTAGAGGCGTGAGCCACCATGCCCGTTTTCCTTTTTTCTTTTAATAAATTCTTTCCCCTTCTTTCCCTAGCATTTGGAATCTATATATATTCTTTTTGTGTACCCGCAATTTATCAATAAGGTAAATTCCAAGGAGCAGGATTGCTGCATCAAAGGTTTGATAGTTATTGCTTAATTACCCTCTCTAGAGTTTGGTTCCATCGTGCCTACCTATCCACACGGTGTGAGAATGCCTCTTCCCCACAGCTGCTGGGCAGTGGTTCTTAACCTCAACCTGAAGTTTCTCTGCTTCTGCCTTTCTTTCCTTCTTTCACCCATTCATTTTGTCATATGGTTTCTGATCAATAGATTGGTGTAGGCAGTTCCTCTTTATAAACTGGTAATCCCCTAGACGCTATTGCTACATTACTGGAAAAATAAAATAAAACTTGACATTTTTAGAGAAACTGGGGACTCACAAGCAGAATAAGGGGAAAAAAACTTTAAAAACTAGACTAGGCCGGGCGCGGTGGCTCAAGCCTGTAATCCCAGCACTTTGGGAGGCCGAGGCGGGTGGATCACGAGGTCAAGAGATCGAGACCATCCTGGTCAACACGGTGAAACCCCGTCTCTACTAAAAATACAAAAAATTAGCTGGGCATGGTGGTGCGTGCCTGTAATCCCAGCTACTCAGGAGGCTGAGGCAGGAGAATTGCCTGAACTCAGGAGGTGGAGGTTGCGGTGAGCCGAGATCGTGCCATTGCACTCCAGCCTGGGTAACAAGAGCGAAACTCCGTCTCAAAAAAAAAAAAAAAAAAAAAAAAAACTAGACTAAAGCTGGGAAATAAGTGGATAGGCTCTCAGGATATGACCCAGGTACAGTAAATTATATATGCTAACAGGACCTGAATATTTCACTGACTTGATGATACTTTCTAAAATTCCACATTGAAAAATTATGTGAAGAAAAACTTTTTTTTTTTTTTTTCAGATGGAGTTCCACCTCCCGAGTTCAAGCAATTCTCCTGCCTCAGCCTCCCGAGTAGCTGGGATTACAGGTGCCCACCACCTCGTCCAGCTAATTTTTTTTTTTTTTTTTTTTTTTTTTGTATTTTTAGTAGAGATGCGGTTTCACCACGTTTGCCAGGCTGGTCTTGAACTCCTGACCTCAGGTGATCCACCCACCTCGGCCTCTCAAAGTGCTGCAATTAGAGGCGTGAGCCACTGCAACCAGCCTGAAAAACTCTGAAAAACTCAAAAGTGCCTGGTGCAGTGGCTCACTCCCGTAATTCCAGCACTTTGGGAGGCCGAGGTGGGTGGATCACAAGGTCATAAGTTCAAGATCAGCCTGGCCAACATGGCGAAACCCCATTTCTACTAAAAATGCAAAAACTAGCCAGGCATGGAGGCACACACCTGTAATCCCAGCTACTCGGGAGGCTGAGGCAGGAGAATCCCTTGAACCCTGGAGGAGGAGGTTGTAGTGAGCCAAGATCATACCACTGCATTCCAGTCTGGGAGACAGAGCCAGACTTAGTCTCAAAACAAACAAACAAACAAAAAACAAAGTCAAAAGCCTCTGGCAGGGTTTTGAGCTTTCAACATTAATGCAAATTAATTCAATCAAATTCCTTTTCCTCTTAACATGTGACACCCTGCTGTCCACAGCAGCTGCGATGGGGAATACTGGACTTAAGTCGTTTTGAAGTTTGAAACACTCAGGGTGGAGTGAATATAGTGCTAGGCATTGTGGGACTTGGGGCAATTAAGGACATTAGCTCTTAGAAATTGGGGCAAGGAAAACTGAGAGGTTAAGGGGGAGGAGAGATGCCAAAGATCAGCCTGACCTAATTGGAAACTTTGCCTTTGGTTAGCCTCCTAGAGAAAAAGAAACGTCCTCCTTCCTTCATAACATAGCAGTTGGTTCCCACATCTGAAATGTAATCTAATACTCTGTACTATTTGAGCTATGCAAAGATCAAACTGATATTTGTAGTTTAGTTTGGGGAATGAATCATCATTCATGACACACGTTTTTATGAAACCATAAGAATGAATCCCAAACAAATCTATTTTATTTATTTAAGACCGAGTCTCTCTTTGTCACCCAGGCTGGAGTACAGTGGTGCAACCTCAGCTCACTGCAACCTCTGATGCCCAGGTTCAAGCAATTCTGGTGCCTCAGCCTCCTGAGTAGCTGGGACTACAGGCCTGCACCACCATGCCTGGCTAATTTTTTGTATGTTTAGTAGAGGTGGGGTTTTGCCATGTTGGCCAGGCTGGTCTCAAGCTCCTCCCTCAAATGATATGCCCGCCTTGGCCTCCCAAAGTGCTGGGATTACAGGTGTGAGCCACCTCACTTGACCCAAAACAACCAATTTATGAGTGAACTTTTGAAATATAATCCCTTCTACAAGTTTGAAACTTCCTATTCTGAAATTAAATCTCCACTGAGTAGCAGGATGTGTCAGACCTCAAACAGGGTAGAAATAAAAATTAGGTAAATGGTCAAACTTGTAAGGTTATAAGAGAGATGCCCTCTGAAGTTACCACAGTATGGATGAGACCAGTCTGCATAGGAGGATGTCTTGGAAACAGTCAGAAGACAGTTCATGAAAATGTCCTCAAGTAAAATAGAAATTTGAAACTGTAAGGATGAGAATGTTCTGCAACACAAATGGTCATCAGAACATATGGGTCAACATGGAATGTAGCAAATGGCCAATGGTGACTGTGTGTTATTATTTATGAAATTTGGACAAGGAAAACACCACTATTATCAATACTTCAAAATTTCCTTCTGGTGGAGAAAGATGACTCATTAGGTCATCTTTTTCCTCCTCTTTCAATCATAGTATCATTCAGTTTGCAAAGTGTTTTCACACGTGCTTTCTCATTTTTGTTTCTGATCTTCACAACACCCCTGAAATAGGTAGACAAGTATTTTACTATTATCATCTTACAGATAAAAGAAACAAAACAGAGAGCTTGTGGTGACGTGTCCAAAGTGAGATTATTTTTATTTTTAAATTTTATTTTATTATTATTTTATGAGATGGAGTTATGCTCTTGTTGCCCATGCTGGAGTGCAATGGCGCAATCTTGGCTCACCATAACCACCTCTGCTCCCAGGTTCAAGTGATTGTCCTGCCTCAGCTTCCAAGTAGCTGGGATTACAGGCATGCACCACCATGCCCAGCAAATTTTGTATTTTTAGTAGAGACAGGGTTTGTCCATGTTGGTCAGGCTGGTCTTGAACTCCTGACTTCAGGTGATCCACCTGCCTCGGCCTCCCAAAGTGCTGGGATTATAGGCATGAGCCACTGTGCCTGGCCTATTTTTTTGTTTTTTATTTTTTTTTGAGATAGTCTTGCTCTGTCACCTAAGCTGGAGTGCAGTGGCCCAATCTCGGCTCACTGCAACTTCCACTTCCCA